CAACAGAATGTTGCTAAGTAACTTAGTTTAATACTTATGCGATATATCCAGTCAAAGAACAAAAGAAAATTTTGAAACTAAAGAAGCTTCAGAAGGTTGCCCTTTACAACACCAGCACTAAAAGGAACACATTGAAAATGTCTTAGTTTTGAATAAAATTTTGTATTCATCACAAATTTGTTAGATATGTGTTTAGGGAAATGGTGAGTTTAAAATTTGATAAACGATGTAGCTAACGGCTTAAAAAGTAAACCTAGATGATTTCCAGATGTGTTCCTCGAGGTCGTGGTAAATGTGTCTGGAGACGTCATTGTTGGCCGGTTAATTTTTGAACGATTGCCACTTTAGCTGTCTGCTCCAGAAATAAGAAGTTGTTTTATTTAGGTCAGTTTGGGGATAGTAAGAGTTACATACCTTTTTCGTGAAAAGGGGGGCTCTGTCTTCCAAAACATAATAAACAGGTGTATAAAGGCAGTGAGGGTACAGTAGGTATCTTGGGAGGGTTGATAAACACATTAGTTAAGAAAGAGAAAGTTATTTTCTCCAAAAAATCTAACTCCAGACTTAAAAATTATTTCATTCATCAGTATTTATATTTATTCCAAATTGACGATTCAAAAAATTTTAATTTGTTGCGATAGAAAACACACTAATTAAAACGTAAACAAATTAATTTACCTGTCGCCTAGCCAACACTTATCTATAACAGTGTGTAACGAAGTATATAATATTATAAAAGACGTTTAAACCTAGATTAATTAAACACGCTTTGATATACTCGTCGCCTAGGTAATACGTTTCAACAATGTTGTCTGAGGAGTTATAAATTATTGTCACTAGGTGAACTTCCAATGGATTTAAAGTAATTATTTTCATTCTGTTGATAGAAATATACAACAATTCGTTATTTGAGTTAATTTTAGCTTACAGTTTCAAGGCCTGTTTCAAAATTCCCTTATAATCTGTAAGACGGTTTCAACCAATTTTGTTTTGATTTAATCTTGTAATAATATTTTGTTGTTTTCTTTGTGCAAAGCTATACAATAAGCTATTCGTACTCTGTGAATCGAACCCCTGACTCACCAGGAGACAATATTTTTGTCGTCATTATTTAAGTGAAAGTTAAAAATAAATAAATAAATAAATAGCCATTTTTAGTCTCTTGTATGAATTCAAGCAGGCTATACAATTTTCAAGTTATATTTTATTTACAATAAAAATTAATTATATTTTCAAGGCTCAACTAACTAAAATTCTTTAAAGTAATCTAAACAACAAACAAAACTCAATTGGAGATTAATAAAAAAAATTCCTATTATTTATTAAAAAAAGAATTAGGCTATATTTAAGAACAAAACAGCATATAATTGGTTTAGAAAACAGAATCGGACGCGGAGCACTGAATATTGGAGATGAGAAGCCGGGTTAGAATCTGTTGGATACCACAAAATATCCCCCCCCACCCCACCACACACACAGTAGACTGTGAGTGCATTATAAGAGTAACAGTAGATACATTAATGTGGACCAGTAAGGTATTGCTGCCCTCTTTCTGTTCGGCAGTATTTCAAAATTAGAGGCAACAGCAGGTAGCCTTAATAGTTCTGCCTTCAAAATGAGCCTACAGATCATCGCTGGGATTTGTATTAATAGTCATAAGAGAAAAGTTGCTTAATGTGAATTTGTTTACATCCGTTGCCAGCAGGCGAAGTGTGTGTTGCTATGGGTCGCTTAGCATGAGTTAATAAGTGACAAAAACATGGATATATTTAGAAGGGTAAAAAGGCTTAGCTGAAAAATATTTCACTTCGAAAACTTTTCAAGATGGGGTACAAGCCAAAAAATAACGTTTGTGTGACTTTTTCTTAATTGTTATGTGTGACTTTAATTGTTATATTGTCTTACATTAATTCGTTACACTGGTTTTTACTTGTACTAATTATTAATTCAAGCATAGTTTTGATGAGCGTAAAAACGAATATCTAACATACCTGTTGACTGGGATCCAGTTGTCGCTCCAAATCTCTATAAAGATCATCACAAAAGGAAATAAAACAACAAGACAAACACGAGAATTTTAAGATTTATCAAAATGTCAAGAAAGACTAACCACGAGAAAAAGTGTAACTTTTAAAATCAAAATTATTTCTGTTAACCCTTTTCACGAAAAAAAAAAGATCATGTTAGCCAAATATAGGAAAACCCGTAAGTTTGTTTATAAATTTTTATATATTTTATACCAATATCACATAATTCCACCTGGTGAGAGTTATGTTCAACTTTGTATCAGTAAAACTCGTTTCTGCGTAAATAGTTTATGTACATATTTAAACAATTTCAATGAACGTTAGAAAAAAAACAAAAAAAAAAACGCTCCTATTGTTGAATATCTGAAATACCATATTCGTCATGACTTGGGAAAAAAGTTGACCAAGTATTCTATCAAATACTTAAATATCGTTATTTCTTATTTAACAAAATTACCGAGCTACGTATATATAAATATGAGTTCTCTGGTTTAAGTAATTTTTAATAAGTAACTCTTATGATCCTTTATACTGTTTAATTAACTATTTAATTGCCATTCACTTACTTTCGCTGCAACGTCAGCAGACACAGAATGGGATCTGTTGCGAATCAAACCCATCACTTTAGATACTGGTCCAGATTTGCTCTCAGATCCAGCTCTCGGGCGCTTGTAATCTGAAGAATCTGCCTGGTTGATAATGTTGTGAGTACGGTAAACAGGAGGCAGGGTGTGGCCCAACGCCTTTGGAGAGCTTCTTCCACTGCTACCAGAGGTTCTCAGGGTCGAGATAAAAGTTGGTCTGTATCTCTTGCTGTCGGATTTCGAACGGGGCCGAAACGTCTCGAAAACATACGTCTTCCTGGAAGGACCCCCCTCAGCGAAGGTATCGTCACCCGACGACATCCTCATCCTATTGTCAACCGCCTTTGAAGTACCGCCGGACAGAGATCTCATCCGACTTCCATCTTCCTCCTGTCCTGATTTCGACATCTTGTAAAAATCTTCTGTTGATACCGAGGTAGACTGGCTGTTCTTTCAGACTGTAAAGTAAGTTATATGTTAGTAAACATATATATATATATATATTCCTGTGTGTTAAGATAAAAACCAGTCAACATCATACACATCCTGACGGTATGAGTTACAGAAACAATACGCTGCTTATTGAGCTCATGGAGTGACAGTGTGGCAGTTTATCTTGATTCCGTTCGTTTAAATTGCGCATGCGCGGTTAACAGTGTTTTCATCACATTTCCAAGCAGTGTAGTTTTTCTTCTTTTTTTTCGTTCTGTAATCACAGTCAGATGTCTGTGGGCGACATTAGCGTTAAGTTTTTATCTGCTGTTTCTGACGTTCGTCTTCTAATAAACAACACCTCCAGAGGGATCAGGTGCAGAGCGAACACGATAACCTACAAAACGACACCAAATCCTTCTGGACACACAGTCTTTCATTGGCAAATTCTCACGTCAATGTTACGAGTTTTCAAGAGGATTAGAGAGTTAGCTTTTCTGTTTGCTTCTTCGGTTTTATGACATATCACGTGGCAATGTTACAGCAGCGCGTGCTGACAGTTCATCTTACCAGACCTCACCTGCACGTTGTAAAAACCTACCGTCATCTACCTGTATACAGAAAGAGACTCTTCTCGTGGAAGTACGTAAACCATTTTTATATGTATACGTGTGAGTAATATATACGTGTCAACCTTATCCACGTACAGGGAAAGACGACTACAGAGATGTTTTATTTATAACATAGCTTATAATATATAACTATTATTTAAAACTGATATCAGTTATTTTCATAATATTTTTTTTTGGTACCAACAGTATAGTACTCACTGTATAATAACTTTAGCCTACATCCCGTTTCTACGTTTTGTCTTATACCATGTCTACCCAATAATAAGCCTATATTAGTACACCCAACAAAAACTTATTCACACGTTCATACTTTCTCGGTATCCCTGATTATAAACATATCTTTAGCAATGTGTCAAAGAGAACATTTACCTACACTTTATCTTAAATGTGGCGACCTCTGGTGTAAATCTTATAATTCTTTATGAGTTTTATTGAACTAAACGTAATTAGCACACTACTCACTACACTTCACGTACTCAGATCGAAGTATTAACCCATAACACTCATTACAATCGACAAATGACTCTCTTGGGGCAAAGCATTTTGGACAATCTTGAATTCGGTATAGCCTAATTTTGTAATTGTTCATATACACAACAGTTTAAGAAATTAGGCTTAAACATTCTCCAATTAATTAAAGAGTTAAGCCTAAATATTCTCGAATTAATGAATCCGAAAGTGTTCGTTCTTTTGTAGGCTATCTCGGAGAAAACTCCGGAATTCGATTTAAACAGGTAAACTTTAACGACCCTCAGTGGATCAGCATTACGTCTGCAAGCTTGATACGCCAAATATTGGGTTTCGATACCCGTGGTGGGCAGAGAGCACTGCCAGCTTATCGAATCAGCTCAAAATCAAATCACTTGTTGACTACTTATACTGAGTCAGACATAGCCTGATATTTAGTGTTTCAGTCTGCGGCTTGTAAGGCTTAAGGTTCGAGCTGTCATATCCCGCTGAATACGGTCTGCATTTTCAACTGTAGGCGGAGTGACAGTCAATCTTGCTATTCGGAGAAGCCATAAAGACACCCGGTGCTGTTCCTTACCTGCCCTCTTTCTTGTCGCCCCTTTCAGGCGTGGGGCGTTATAATATGACAGTCAATCCCACTATTCGTTAGTAAAAGAGTAGCCCAAGAGTTGGCGGTGAGTGGTGATGACTAGCGGTCTTCCCTCTAGTCTTTCACTGCTAAATTAGGGATGGCTAGCGCAGATAGCCCTCGTGTAGCTTTGTGGTGATGACTAGCGGTCTTCCCTCTAGTCTTTCACTGCTAAATTAGGGATGGCTAGCGCAGATAGCCCTCGTGTAGCTTTGATTTATTTTGAATTTGGCGCAAGAAACGATGAATTTGAGTCCCTTAGGAATGTTTGTAGTTTTTTTTTTCAGAAGAGTTCGCCAAAAAATAAGGAAGCCACCAGGAGAGAGAGTGTGGCTTCGTCCTGGTTGAATTTTCATTAACCACGAGACTCTATAATGTATAAAATAATTAAGGCTAAGACTCATTGAACATTAGATTTTCACTCTGGGCCGTGAGGTCGTCACAACGGATCAAACTTCGTCAGACTCACGGTCAGTACGTGAGTCTTGTGCACGTGGTATTTGGTAAAAGGGCTAAACGGTTAGGTCAAGGGCCATCAAGACTCACGTATATCCATCCCTAATTTAAAACTGCTGACAAGAAAGATTGGTTTTCCATAGAGGACAGAGCATTTTAGAAGTTGTTTCTATGGCGCTCTTGTTTAGTTGTTACTTACTTCAGAGCGATTTATTCATTTCCTTTTGTTGTTGATGTTGGTTATAAACAAACAACCTACATCTACAGGATGTCCAGCTTTTCTTAATTTCAGATACGCGACTGATTATCGCGCTGTCAAAGCACGAGAAGGTCGAGTTGATCCGAACTTTTTTTGAATTACAAGGAGAGCATTTGGAACACATTCTGTAAAAATCGTTGAGGTGCTTATAGTTCCAGACATTTCGGACACCGTGCAGATGGACGACATTGAAACCGAATGTGTTACAGCAGTACAAAGAAAGATAAAATCAAGAAAATTAAACTGGCTCTCTTACTATAGTAATAATATCTGGAGCAGCTCCAGTTACTATAGTAATAATATTCGGAGCAGCTCCGGTTACTATAGTAATAATATCTGGAGCAGCTCCGGTTACTATAGTGATAATATCTGGAGCAGCTCCGGTTACTATAGTAATAATATCTGGAGCAGCTCCGGTTACTGTAGTAATGATATCTGGAGCAGCTCCGGTTAGTATAGTAATAATATCTGGAGCAGCTCCGGTTACTATAATAATAGTAACTGGAGCAGCTCCGGTTACTATAGTAATAATATCTGGAGCAGCCCCGGTTACTATAGTACTAATATCTGGAGCAGCTCCGGTTACTATAGTAATAATATCTGGAGCAGCTCCGGTTACTGTAGTAATGATATCTGGAGCAGCTCCGGTTACTATAGTAATAATATCTGGAGCAGCTCCGGTTACTGTAGTAATGATATCTGGAGCAGCTCCGGTTACTATAGTAATAATATCTGGAGCAGC